GCTTCTGAGTGCCCTGAGTCTGAGGGGTGGGGGGAGGGTGCTGCTTACATCTTAGCTCCCCTGGGGCCGTGTGGGAAGCAGAGACCTGGGTTCTGTCCACACCCGCTGACACAGGCTGCTGGCTGTTGTCATGGTGACACACCACCAACCCCCGTGGCTGTGGTCACAGGTCTAGCCGAGGTGCTTATTCTTGGTCACGAAAAGGAAGCAGGAGGGGAATGGCCTTTGGCCCTGCCCAGACTTAGCTGGGAGTCAGGGTTCAGGGCATCATTGCAGCAGAAACTGAGGGGTCACCTTCCCGGGCCTACAAGGGCACCAGCCTAGCTCCAACCTGGGGGCACACAGGAAGCTCACTGCCTCTAGTAGTGAAGTGACCCTACAGCCCGACAAGTTCCCCGCAGAAACCCTTCTCTCCACCAGCCAGGTCTGTCACTGTCCCCACAACCACAACTCAAGGCCTCTTCCCCCAAAATCCGGCTCTGCTCTAAGGGCAGGGCATCCCCAAGACCAGGACCCCCAGAGACAATTCCCAAGGGTCTAAGACCCATGCCTCCTCTTCTGTGAATCCTATTTCTGGTTTGGGGGTTTTGTTTATTTGTTTGTTGGGTCACATCCAGCGATGCTCAGGGCTTACTCCTGGCTCAGCTTAGGGATCACTCCTGGCTCTGGGCTTAGGACTTACTCCTGGTGGTGCTCAGGAGGCCATATGTGCTGCTGGGGAATAAACCTGGGCCAGCTGCACGCAAGGCAAATGCCCTACCCACTCTACTCTCTTGCCAGTTCCCTGCACACCCCATTTCTGACTCCTACACCAGACTCCGGCAAGGCAGGAGATGGGGTGCTCAGCTTCCACCAAACTCAGGCCCCAAGCAGCCTTCCAAGTACTGCCACATACACATCCACACTCTCACACGCATTCACACACATACACAACACTCACACACAAACACTCACACTCATGGGCACACAACATGTTAGATGGAAATTTATTACATGAATCTTTGATTTTATAACTGATTTATAACATGTACTCTTAGAGATAATTTTGCTTGTGGGTGGAAAAATTTAAAGACATGATGCCCACTCTATCTTGTACTTGGGATGAACTTCCCTATTTCAAGGTAAGAAAATGCAATTGTAGGAAACTCCCCATAACCACACTGATCTGGAGCCAAGATGTGTGTGCATGCTCTGCACCGCACGAGAAGGAAGCACAGTAATGATGAGTCTGCAGCAGTGGCCCATGAAACAGGCTCTGGGAGCCCTGGGCTTGGCCTAAGGTTTCAAGTGCTCGTCTACGTTGATCACTGCCCGGCCTGACCGACTGGTGTAATAAAGACCTCCTGGTTCTCCCACTAAGGTTGTCTTGGCATGATGGATTAAGCAAACACCCATTACAACATACCCATATTCTCATCCACATAGACTCACACATACTCACACTCTCACACTCATACTCTCACACACTCATAAACACATTCGCATATACACTCACACATTCACACATACAGATACACCCGCATGTACACACACATCTGCACACAATCATAGACACACCCACACATATACACTCACACACATATACACTCAGACACATCCACACACATCCACACACATCCACACTCATGCACACATACACATACACTCGTACATGCTCACTCACACACATACATACTCATACACACTCACACACATATTCTCACACATACATACTCTCACACACATGTACACGTACACATATACACTCACATACATGCATAATCACACACACATACACACACATATACTCACACACACATACATACATACTCTCACACACATGTACACGTACACATATACACTCACATACATGCATAATCACACACACATACACACACATATACTCACACACACATATACACACAGACACACACACACTCTCTCTCTCTCTCTCTCTCTCACACACACACACACACACACACACGTGTGTGTGCTCGCGCAAGTGCTGGGCTTCTTGGCCACCACCTTTCCCTCTCTCCCTCACTGCTCCCATTGTGCGGTCTCCTTCTGTTCCTCCACATGGCTGAGGAGGCCACTCCGGCCTGGACACTTCCTGGCCAGATGGTCCCTGGATTGTGCAAGCCCTCCCAGCCAACGTCTCCACAGCACTCACGGCCTCAGTGAGTGGGTCCTCCTCAGGCTGCCTGTCTCAGACTCCGCGTCTGTGCCCAGCACCGGAACCCAGATGCTCAAGATCCTGAGGCTGGGAGATGACTGACCGGGGCGGGGGGGCCCCTGGCTTCTGTCCCCAGCACTGCTGTGTTTGACCCTCCCCTCCAAGGAGCACATCAGCAAACAAGGGCGCGCCTTGGCTCTGGTCACAGCTGTACCCACAGCACCTCCATTCTCTCGACCACAGATGTGACAAACACGGGGCTGTGGTCTCAGTGCTGATGTTGGAGAAGTGGGGGGCGCAGACAATAGTGACAGCAACAGGGGCTGCTGAGGCAGGGTCAGGTTCAGTGGTTGAATGAGGGCCGAATCTAAGAGGATGGGCCTGAAAATCCCCCAGTGACCAGAAGAGACTCATCTCAGTGTCCTGCTCTTCCCCACCACTGTCTCACTGCTCTGCAACTTTTTTTTTTCCTTTTGGGTCATACCCTGTCATGCTCAGGGGTTACTCCTGGCTCTGCACTCAGGAATTACTCCTGCCGGTGCTCAGGGGACCATATGGGATGCTGGGAATCAAACTCAGGTGGGCTGCGTGCAAGACAAATGCCCTAACCACTGTACTTTCACTCCAGCCCCCCGCATGCTTTAAATCCTAGTGAAAAGTGCCTGCCTGGGGACCAGAGTGGGTAGAGCATTTGCCTTGCGGAGGCTAACCCAGGTTTGCTCCCCAGTACCCTATATGGTTCCGAGTCCAACAAGAGTAATTCCTGAACATAGAGCCAGGAATAAGCCCTGAGCATCGCCAGGTGTGGCTCAAAAATAGAAAGAGAGAAAGGGAAGGAGGACGAGAGGGGAAAGAAAGAAGGTAGGAAGGAGAGAAAGTTCATCCACCTGCTCCCTTAGTTAAAAGATATAAAAATAGAGGATCTGGACTCAGAGAGAGAGAGAGAGAGACAGAGAGAGAGAGAGAGAGAGAGAGAGAGAGAGAGAGAGAGAGAGAGAGAGAGAGACTGGAGGTGGATTGGTGCTCCAATATTGTATGTCTGAAACTCAACTATGAATAACTTTATAAATCATAGAGCTTTTTAAGTAAAATTTAAAGAAAAAGAAAGAGAAAGGGGGGAAGAGAAAGAGTTCACCCAGCTGCTCTTTAGTTAGAAGACATAAAAGAAGGGACTCTACCTTGCTCTGGACTCAGACCCCTCTGCAAATCCGGGCATTTTCCAGTCCTGTCTTCCCTCCTGTTAAGCAAGATCTTCTGAATTTGGCCATTTTGTCTCCAATACACACACCCCCGCACCGTCATATGAAACAGCATATAATGCTTCAACAATGATCCCTACACCAGTCTCTCCTTCCTTCACCAATGCCCCCACTGACCTCATCTTTAGATCTCTTGTTTTCAATTTTGGCTGTTTGAAGACAAAAATTGGAGTGTTCTGTAAGGAGAGGGGGAGGGGAGAGAGAGAGAGAGAGAGAGAGAGAGAGAGAGAGAGAGAGAGAGAGATGGAGAATTAGTACCACCTGTTTGCTAAGCCCACTGTGGTATCCCTGGAAAATGCCTGGCGGGTAGGACTGGTAAGGTCAGCTCCAAGCACCTTCATGAAGCATCTGTGCAGCTAACCTCCCAGCAGCCCACGGGCAGCCAGTCAAACTGCACCTGAGGTCACTTGATCTGCACAGAGCTGGATGTGATCCCCACCACCCGGGCTCTCGGGGAGCCCCAGCCACAGGCTGGGATGAGGGTTTTTGCTCTTTGCAAGTAAAGAAGCATCCACCCTGGCCTCTGTCCAGGTTTCTAGGTCATTGTTGACCCTCGCAGCAAAGAATTTCAGAGATACGTCATAAAGCAAAATAATTTTATTTAGGAAATATGAGGAAGGAAGGGAGGGAGGGAGGGAGGGAGGGACGGAGGGAGGGAGGGAGGGAGGGGGAGAAAAAGAGAGAGAAGTATTCCAGAGAGAACGTGGAATTCTCCAGTACCCCGTACAGTGATAGGAATTACATATTCCCAAGGTGGGATGGGGGGTGCCCCTTTGCAAAGATGGCCTCCCCCCAAACTGCCCCCACTGGGGCTTCCTAGGCAGTAAGAGACTCGTTTGCTAGGGGGAAAGGGTTTGAGCTTTCGGTGGCTGGTTTTCCTGTTCTTATCACAGCCTTTTGTTTCTGTGGAAGCTTCTCTCCCAAGGGTTCCAGGCTTTTTGGGTGTAGAGTCTTATCAGGCCTCAGTTCCTGTGTCCCCAAAGGGAGTCCTTGCCATCCTGCCTTTTAGCTACTTTAGGACTGGGAACAGATCACGTCTTGGTTTGACTATTTCCTGAGAGATACAGCCAGCACCCCCATCCTGCATCAGGTCAGCGGGCTCGCCCCCAACCCCCACCCCATTACAAATCAAGGGGTGGGGCTGGCACTTTCTGGCCTTCCGGGTAGGCCTTATATGGTCCCTCCTGCACTCCTGCAGCCCTCAGCAGGAGGGGCCTGGGGAGGAAGAACTCTCCAAGCCTGAAGAACAGGGGTGGCTGGAGAAAAACAGGCCTGGCATCATTGTGGGAACTAAAATCAGCTGAAAACATTTCTCTAAAAATATATCCATGTGGGCATATGGAGAGACAGTGGGGAGGGCACTTGCCTTGCACGCGGCCGACCCGGGTTGCATCCCTGGCACCCCATATGGTCCCCTAAGCATCATCAAGAGTAATTCTTGAGCACAGAGCCAGGAGTAACCACTGAGCATTGCTGGGTATGACCCAAAAACAAATCCTCCCAAAACTGTGTGTGTGTGTGTATATGTATATATATGTGTATATATATATATATATATACATACACACAGATATATATATATATATATATATATATATATCGATGTTTTCATCACCCACTGAGTCCAACCTGGGAAATTTAAGGTATAAGGCCCAAGCCAAGGCCAAACATCTGGAAGGGCCCCCTGCTCAGAGGGAGCCAACGGTCAGGTAGGTAAGCGCGGGCGCCAGCAGGGTGGTCAGGGCCAAGGGCAGCAGCTGCTCCGGTGCCCTGGACTTGTAAACTACACGCCCTTCCAGCAGCTGCAAGGGCCGGAAGTTGTTGGTCATATTCACTTTTTTTTGATCATCATAGAACAGCTTCTCGGAGAAGGCAAAGATCTGCAAAAGCACAAACTTCACTGGAGAGGGGCGGCAGGGGATGCCACTCCCCCTCTGTGACCCTGTGGCCAGACCTCACCCTCCGTTCCTGACTCAGTAGGCCTGGGAAGAGGCCTGCGAAGGAGACTATGGCCCAGTAATGATGTCGACAGGCAGGGCTGTTCTGGAAAGAGCCCCAAAAGGGCCTGTGTCTGGCTGTAGATTCCCACGCCTTGTGCTGTGTTACAGGCCACTGATGAATGAACTGTCTGAAGCTCATTCAGCCACTCCTGGATGGCCCCAGGCCCACAGTCTGCCCCCTGCCCTCTCTCTCATCTCCTTCACTCACCTACTTCTGCCTGGTGTGGCTTCAGACTTTCTCTGACTGCACGACCCTTTCAGTCTTTCTCCCCCAGCCCAGGGAGAGTCTGTGGACTCAACTAACATGCCTCAGCTCCCGGGGGCACCCGCCCAGCCCAGGCACCTCTGGGGGTGGGACGCAGAGCGAGGGCTTCTGGGAAGTCCAGTGGCCAGAGGCTGTTCCCTGAGCCAGGCCTGTGTACCTGCTGGCTGTGAAGTCGAATGGGCTCCTGGAAAACAGTCCAGACCACCGTCTCGTCGCAGCTCGGGGTGGTGAGGGAGCCCAGGTAACGGAAATAGTTCTTTAGCTTCTCCTTCTCGGGCAGCAGGTCAAACAGGCTGACCTCTTCTGCCATGGTGGTGTTGCTTTCTGAGGGCAGAAGGCATGACCTATAGTGGGGTGGGGCTGCCTGCCTCTGACACCCCACTCTGAGACTCCCCCTTTCTCTGCTCTGCTGGGGCTGGGGCTGGAGCGATAGTACAGCAAGTAGGATGTTTGCCTTGCACGCGGCTGACCCAGGTTCGATTCCCAGCATCCCATATGGTCCCCCCGAGCACCACCAGCAGTAATTCCCGAGTGCAGAGCCAGGAGTAAGCCCTCGGCATCGCCTGGTATGACCCAAAAAGCCAAAACAAAACAAAACAAAAACAAAAAGAGAGTGTCCTGGTGAGATACCCCTGCCTCCCACCCAGCCTGTTCCTTGCGTCCCTGACTTACTGGGTTTGGAGATAGCAGACAAGGCATTCACAAGAGGCTGGAAGTTATCATTCTGGGGTCCAGCCTGGAACAGAAGTCACAGGTAGAGTGTGGTCCCCCTCCTGATCTGTGTTAAAGTAGGGGAGCTTCCTGGGTGGAGAAACTCCAGGGTCCCCCCCCCAGGGTTTTATAAGGCACTGAGAAGCAGGAGGGTCTCCCCCACCATGCTGGAGCCTCGTGTCTCTGGCCCCCTGGTTCCCGGAATCACCTCCACCAGGAAGGCCAGCACAGCGATGTTGTCCTCCTGGGTGTCCTGCAGGGCTCTCCGGCTCCTGGAGGTCCCCCGCTTTTTCTGGTGGACTATGTGCATCTGGGATCGGGGGAGGGGGAGGAGAGAGGTGAGGGCTGCCTTGGGGAGGTGCCCCCAAGCCCAACCCAGACCCCACATCCCCCCTGGGAGGGGCCTGCACCTCCATGGCCTTGAATGTCCCGTCCAGGCTGTGCTCAGAGCCTTTGCCCGGCTCCTGCGACCAGTGCAGGTGCAGCTGCGTGGCCTGGTACTTGGAGTCCAGTCCTCCGTCCTCAATCCAGGCCTGCCCGTCCAGCTGTACCATCACTGCAACACAGTGGGGGCAGAGGGCTCACACCTGCCGGCCAGCCTCCCTGCCCTTCCCACAGTGCCCCGAGGAGATGGAAGGTGGGAGGGCTAACCTTCTGCTGGCCTCTGGCGGGCACAGGCCTGCCCGCTCCACCACAACTCACCTGGCCATGGCATCCTCAGGGACTGACCTGCTCCGGTGCCCCCCACCCCCCCTTGCTCTCTGCTCTGCACACACGGAGACACATGCCGTTCCCCAGCACCCCAGTTCACGCCTCCCCGCCCCGCACATGGTGTTCCTTCTCCCAGAATGTGCCCTCCCCTCCACCCCAGGAAGCATTAGAAAGACACTAGTGAGGGCACGAGCCGAGTGTGGGTTCTGTCAGGAGGCTTGGCTTCTACCCCCCCCCCCCCGTGGCACTCCAAGACAGCAGTGGCAGCCCCTGATCACCCCCAGGTATGACCCCCCCAAAAAAAGTGCATTTATAAAGTCATCCCTCCTTTCTCAAAGCATCCGTGTGTCCCCACAACCACCACCACCACTTTCCTGAGAGCTCTGCAGCCTTTCTTCAGTAGGGGCATGTGGGCCTGCAATCTCCAGACCTCAGGGAACTCAGGGGACCCCCGGAAGCCCGCCTGAGACCCACCTGTATGCCCGTTGTTGGTGACGCTCCACTTCCCTTTCTTGTCATAACCAGAGAAGGAGAAGGGACTCAGGTCACTGTTCACCTTTGCCTCGGAGGTTTTGATGTCAATGGGAGACTGGCGTTTCTTTTGGCAATTCCACTCCCATTGTTCAGGCGCTGTGTCAGGAGGTTAGCAAAGGTCAGAGAAGGGGGGCTCCCACTTCAGGCTCCCACTTCGGGCCCAGTCAGACCTGAGCCCGAAGCCCTCACAGGGGGCCTTTGGGGCAGCTAAGTCCAGCTGGGTTTCAAATCCCCGAGCGAATCCTCAGACAGACACTCATCTGCACGCTTACATTCTCACTCACACTCACCTGCACTCAGTCAGTCCTTACTCCCCCTCACACACTCACCTGTACCCACACATCCTCACTCACATTCACACTCACCTGCACTCACAGTCTCAATCACACTTACATCCTCACTCCCCCTCACACACTCCCTCTCACTCACACTCACCTGCACTCACGCATCCTTACTCACACTCACCTGCTCTCAGTCCTTACTCCCCCCCCACACTCACATACTCGCCTGCACTCTCACATCCTCCTCACACACACACTCACCTGCACTCAGTCCTTACTCCCTCACACACTCACCTGCACTCACATCCTCACACTCACCCTCACCTGTGCTGAGTCCTTACTCCCTCACATACTCACCTGCACTCTCACATCCACACTCACACTCACATTCTCACTTACCCTCACACATTCACACACTCACCTGCACTCACATCCTTACTCCCCCTCACACACTCACACACATTCACGCCCCTCACCCCCACTCACTTGCACTCGAACACCCTCACTCCCCCTCACTGGCACTCACACTCCCATCCTCACTCATACTCCCCTCCCCCTCCCCCTCACCTGCACTCCCATCCTCACTTACCCTCACATACTTGACCTCCCTTACCCCCATTCACCCCACCCTCACACACACACACACACACATACACTCATTCACCCACACCTGCACTCACACTCGCATCCTCATGCACCTTCACATACTCACCTCCCTTATCCTCACTCACACTCACATCCTCACCCTCACACTCTCATCCCCTCTCACACTCAAACCCTCACTCACCTTCACTCAATCTCTCCCTCACACCCTTACTCATCCTCACTGACATATTCTCACTCATCTCCTCACTCAGACACTCAAATACATACTCACCTTCACTCGTACCTACCTCACACTCACACACATCCCCTCACACCCTCACCCTCACTCATGCCCTCACATTCACTCACCCACGTTTACACACTCACTTCACATAATCATGCTCACCTCCTCACACTCACTCGGCCTCTCACACACACTCATTCTCACTCTGCATGAAGTCAGTGAGTCCTGCGTGTGGGTCTTGCTGTGGTGTGGGTTAGCTGGAATCAGGGTAGCCTTGTAGCTATGAGCTCGGATGTGGGGAATGGTCTCTCGGGGACAGAGACCCAGTTCTGATCTCAGCCCTGACAGGGCCTGGGTCTCGTGCCTTAGACCCCGCAGACTCCCCAAGTTGAACCTAGCAAGTGACTACAAAGGGGCATATTTTTTGGAGAGACTTTTTTCAGGTCTGGAGGCAGTGCCTAGGACCCGGGTGTCACTGTGAAGTCACTGAAACTTTGGGGGAGGGAGAAAGTAGCAGCAGGGACCACAGGCAGCACATGGACAAAGGAGAGAAAGAACAGGTCACTCCACTGTTCCAGGGAAGGGCAATGTCCTCCCTCCATGTAGCTACTGACTTATTTCAGAGGATGGACTCTGGGAGTGACACCGATGCTATATGTCACTGTCCCCTGGACACCGGGAGTGTGTGTGTGTGTGTGTGTGTGTGTGTGTGTGTGTGTGTGTGTGTGTGTTGGTTAGCACTAGGGAGAGTGCATTTCTGCCGGGGTGGGGGAGACCATTCCCCTCATGAGTCTCCATTCCAACCCTGCCAGTCGCCCCCCACAGGCTTTCCACAGCCCCGTGGCACTCACCCAAGCAGCTGCTGTCATGTATCTTTTGAATATCGTAGCACCAGTGTAGATCTGGGGTAGAGAGAAAGGAAGTGAGTGTCAGTGTCTGCGCACACACTGAGCCGAAGGTGCAGATGGTGCCGGAGCAACTGGGCTGGGGCAGCAGCAGCAATCAGCCCTGGTGTCACACTCCAAAGGTGTTTCTGGGATCTGGGACCCAGAATCAAGGGCAAGGAGACAGATGGAAGTGAACACTTGGGAGAAGGTGCTACCAGCTGTCCCTGACCCGCGCCCAAAGAGCTTAGCCATCCTGCCCAGTCACTATCCTCAGGTACAGCAGCCACTGCCCGTGAGCCCCTGAGAGACCCTCGAAGGCCATCTGCACCCCCCAGCTGCGGACCAGCTGGTTCTCCAGCCAATACTCAGCAGAGTCCCCTCCCCACCTGAACAGCCCCCCGAAGCCTCAAAGGAGGACCTGGCAGGAGGGGTGGAGGAGAGGATTAGGGTCCAGCCTGCCCTCCTCTGACCACAGGGCCAGGCTGAGGCTGGCTGCCTTCCAGGGGTTGATCCAGGAAGATGGGGAGATTAGGGTAGCCCCGCCCCGGAACACAAAACACGAAGTCTTGTGTTATTAAGACTTGGTCTTGGCTAGATTCACAGTGGCAGGGAGGAAGGCAGCCAGGCCGCTTCCCCACGCCCCCACCCAGGGGCCCGGCCCCCACCCAGGGGGGCAGACAGACTCGGGTGCTAATCCAGAATGCACCTCAGGACCGTAGAACCAGTATCTCCAGGGGGAAAAAATCTGCACCACAAAGTCCCACATGAAGGCAAGCAGCTAAGAATTGGGGAAACTGCGGGGGGGGGGTGGGGGGGGGGGGGGGGGGGGGGGGGGGGGGGGGGGGGGGGGGGGGGGGGAGGGAAGGGCAACGCAGCGGGGGCTCTCATGCTTTCTGCTTAATTTCTCTGTAAACCTAAAGCTAAACTCCATTTCCAAAATCCAAAATCTGTTTCTTTATTTTTGCGGGGTCAGGAGTTGTACCCAGGGCCTCACACCGGCAAGGCAACTGCTCCAGCCCCGACCCCTACGACCCCTATGACAAAAACTATAGAAGTCTATTGATTTGTTTCTTTTTGTTTGGGGTCACACCTGGCGGTGCTGGGGGCGGGGGCTGCTGCTCCCAGCTCAGTGAAAAAGTAGAACAAACGGCTTTGCCAACTGTGGACAAAGCACTGGTTGATGTTCACTGGAAGCTGCGGACTTAGGGACAAGTCACTTGATTGCGCTGCACCAGATTTCTTGTTTTATATTCCTTTTATTGGTTGATGGAGGTGTCACAGTTATCATACCCAAGTCTCAGTTTTTGGCATTCCTAAGATGGTACCTACAGATTAGGCTGTGGAGAAATCTGAATAAGAGATAGTGGGGGGGAGGGTGTCCAGGCCTTGCACATGTGAGGGTCCAAATTACATCCTGGCACCACAATTATCATCATCATCATCATCATCATCAATATATAAAGTAAGCCAACAAAACAGAAAGAGCGTGTTTCTGGCCGCTTGGAAGCTGGCAAAGAGTCAACCCAGTCCTGGCCCTCCTCCTTCGGACTATCTGTCAGTGGGCAGATGGGGGAAGGAGGGAGAGGAGAGGGCTGGAAAGAATTCAGGGGTGAGCAAATTCCTAAGAAAAGCCCAGCTTTCTCCTCAGCCTGAGGCTGCTCGCTCACTTGCTCGCCTCCCTCTAGCGTGCCTGCAATGCACCTGGGGGGCGGGGGGGAGGGGGGGTGTCTTTTAGTGTCTTGTCGGGGAGGCAGGGGCAGGGGGTAAACAAGAGAGTGAGAGTCCATTGATCTTCAAGACCTTCTGGGGTGTTTAGAGTGTTCTACTGGGGACCAATGATCCACTGCACTGCCTGGAGGGAGCCCTGACTATAGAGCCAAGTAAGGTCCCAAGCACCACTGGTGTACCCCGAGACCCGTGCCCCCAGTAAAAGTTTCACCCGGAGGTAGTTCAAATGGCTACAGCCGTGCTGAGCATGCAGGAGGTAGCTGGATTAATCCAGAACCCTTCAGGGTTCCAGAGCACAGCAGTATCCCTGTGGGGGTCCCCCATAAACGTTGACCTCCCCTGATACTTTCCTGGTAGGAGACAGCCCCTGCACTTACCCAGGCCAGTTCTTCTGCTCCACATCCATTGTGCCCTGGGGAGCCGGAGGACTGGGAGGCTCAACTCAAGGGACAGTGACCACTTGCCCCAGCCCTCCTGTCCCTGCCCCAGCCCTCCAGGCCTGGCTCCGCCTCTGCAGAATCACTAGAATCTTCTGGAACCTTCATAACTTTCCCGAGCCCAGTGCTCCTCCTCAGGCAGGAGCTGCCCCAGCAATTTCCAAGGCTGATGGAGATCACAGATGAAACTCCTTAGGGTAAAGTCCCCCATCTTCACAGCTCTGGGGTCCCCACGGCAAAGGGCCCGCCTCGGGAGTTGACCCCCAGGGAAAATTCTACTTGGTAATGCTGCAGCCAGCTCCACAGGGCGGGACCCCTGGCAGCCTCCTCTGGGCCCATCTGGTCCAGTCTGAGCTTTTCTTAGGAATTTGCTCTTTCCTGCCTCTGGCAACAGCTCCTGGGTCTGTGAGGGTGACCTCTGATCCACTGTCTTAATCACAGAGACTTTTGACCTGCTTTGCTGAATGTTCATGTAACTACCCTCCTTGCCAGACAGCAGCCAAGAAAACATCATGTTGATGAGGACGAGGCCAGAGGTCAGGCCTGGGTGACAAGAGGGGGCTGGCTTTCGAGGCAAGAAGTGTCTCGGTGACACATCGGTCCCTTTCCTGGATCCCTGGCCCACCACTCCCACCCCTCTGTCCGGAAGCAGAGGTCATCCCTGAATGTCTTGGCTGTATGGTTGGCTCCCCACCCCAGCCACCTGCCCTGACCAGCATCCCGGCAAGAGAAGAGACAGCCGCTAGGTGTCCCCCACCCCTGCTCTCCACCACCCCCACCCCCATCGCCTTTGGAGGAGGCAGAGATGTTCTCTTTCCTGGACCTTGCTCGGCCCACCCATGCTCATTGCAGGGGGGAGGGAGGGGGGCAGAAATCCTGGAACCCAGCTCAGCAGAAGCCAGGACTGTCCTGGGCAAAGTTGCAGCTTCCCGGGGCAGAACCCTGGGGCTCTGTGGGCACCTGCTAACCCTCTCCCTTCCTCTTCTCTCCCCAAAGGCACCAGATGCTCCGGAAACTTCCATGCTTCTCCTGCTTCTCTGGCTTCAGCTGCCCTTGGGGATAAAAGGGCACAGGAAGACGGCTCCATGCAGACAGTGAAGAGGAGCAGCGTGTGAGGGTCAGGGGACAGTGCTCCCATGGAGGTGGAAGTGGGAGACCCTCATGTCTCCCCTCCCCCACCGAAGGATTAGCCACTTAAACTCATGACAGTCTTCCAAACTTTGAAACAACCTCTGAAAATCAGGATGACCATCCCTGTTCTGTAAGTGGAAAAACGGAGGTGACCCACTTCTGGGGCCTGCCCACGACCACATGCTGCAAAGTCACCGAATTAACCGCAGCTGCTTTTTCTACTAAACCCATCTGCTGGAGTAGAATTCATTCATCCCATCCTACAAATAAAACTGCCTTTTCTCTTCCCTCCTGTCCCAGGCAGAGCCAGGCGGGGGTCTGGCTCTGAGATGCCCCTTGTTGCTCCTTCCCCAACAGGCTCGCCAGTTTCCCAGGCAAAGGACAACCCTATCCCCTCTCCTCTCCTTCTCTATGCCTAGGGGACCACCCCCTCACTCCCGGTCCCAGGGAAGAAGCATCCAACATAAGAAAGGAGGTTTGGCTGTCAGTGTTTCTCAGCGGGGTGGGAGGAGGCATGGGGGTTGTTGGACTGATGAAGGGGGGCATTAGCCATCAGTGTATTTGGGGGTGTTTTTCGTTTTCTTGCTAAAAAATGTAGATTTTTCAGGGGTGCGCTCAGAGATTTTTTTTTCTGAAAAGGGGGAAATAGGTGAAATAAGTTTAGGAAGTTCTGGGCTCTGTGGACCCCAAGAATCATCCCCGAATGGGAGCCCTCTCCTAAAGGGTTTCCAGCAAAACAGAGGGTGCCCCGGGGTCCGTCCTGGATTCCCGTGCCTGGCCGCTACAAGGACCTTCGTCTCCTTATCAAATATTAACACGCCGATCCGGCTACCTCCCACCTAGGGGAATAATTAAGAGCTCGGCTTCACCATTAATCTTTAAACGAAAATCACCCCGGCCGGAAAGACCGGCTCTGCAGGGGCCTCGGGTCTCCGGTGCCCCCCGCCAGGCTTCCAATCCAGCGCTGGGGACTGGAGAGGGGAGCGGGGAAGGAGAGCCGGTAGCCGCTTCCCGGAGACCAGAAGCCCAGGGTGAGAAATGCGGCGACCCACGGCTCCGGGACACCCCGCCGGCTGCCCACACTCGGGGCCCGGGTTGAGCACCCCCAGCACTACTAGCCCTGCGTCCCGACGGGACGGACTGCGCCCCACCGAGACCGCGCGCCCCGCCAGGAAGGCGGCTGGGAGAAGCATCCCGCGCCCAGCCCCGCAAAGGCCGCCGCAGCACCCCAGTCCGCGCCCTCCTCCCCGCACCCGCACCCGCACGGGCCCGCGCACGCCCCGTCCGCCCGCACCCGGCGCACACGCCCGCGGCGGGCACGGATACGAAGCCGGGGAGGGGGCGCCGCCCGCACCCCCCGCTATCCCAGGCCCTCCGGATCGAATCCCGAGTTTCACCTGCGGAGCTGGCCCAGTGCCCGGCGGCGGCCAGAGCCAGGAGCGCCAGGAGCAGTTGCATGGTGCGCGGGAGCCGAGACGCCACCGAGCCGGGGGTCGCTCGCCCAGGAGGCCGCGGGGAGGTGCTGCGAGCATGCCCGCCGGGGTTTTATAGCGGAGCCGCGATGCGAGGGAGCCCCGGCATGGGGACTCGGGGAGCGGCTCCTCCCCCTGGCGGAGCCTCCCCACCCCTCCCCTCCTGCCGTCCCTGCCTGGAAAACCTCACAAACCCCTCGCGCTCCCCACCCCCTGCCGGGCCACCTTTTGCCCTGTGCGCGGGAGCTCGCCCGCCGCGTCCTAACCCGATCCCCACTCCCAGCCCACACCTGGGCTCCGGTGCGGGTCCAGGGTCCGGCTGCCGCCGGGATGACGGGCTGGGATGATCCTCGCGCGGATGTCAGTGCCCCCCGGGAGCGGCCCTCGAGGGTCTCCGCGTGGCACGGGAGGAGAGATGCGGGCGCTGGGCAAGGCGCGCGCGCGCGGGGGTCCGCCCCTACCGCCGCGTAGACCCTCTTCCATGCCCCGAGTGGAAAAGGTGCCCTGATCTGCGTGTTTGTGCGTGAGGGCAGAAGGCGCGGGGTTATCGAGGACGCAGGGTAGGCGGGAACGCAGAGAGGCTCGAGGTGAGAGGAAGAAAGTGATGCGCCCTGCAGGAAAGGGGTCGGTTCTCTTGAGTCCCCCGCCCCCGGTCCCCAGCTCCTGTGACTGGGAAGGGAAGCTACCTGGGTGTGAATGGACACTCCCAACCCCACCCCGGGTGCACCGCTCCCCCTCTCTTTCGGGGGCCCACACCCGGCGGTGCTCAGGGCTTGCTCCTAATTCTGCTCAGGGATCGCTCCTGGCGGTGCTGGGGGACCGTACTGGGTTTAGAACCCAGATGTGCCGCGTGCAAGGTAAGCGCCCTACCCGCTGTACTATCGCTCCATCCCCTGGGCCCCATTCTCGGGAGCGCAATCCAAATCCTAGCTAAAGAGACCGCGGCATTTGGCCAAAGGTGCCTGGGAACCCCTCGAGAGAGGAAACTGCTTCTTGTTTCCGAGGGGTCACGTATACCGCTTCCTGGATTCCATCCCTCTCGCAAAGCCTCTGACCTCCTTGGGGACTCTAGGTCCAGTGGGTAGCGCAGGCGGAGGGTTGAGGGGTGGGGGGAGGGACGGGGAATTGGGCAGTGGGCCTGGGGCCCCTCCATCAACAGGAAGCCCGCCCAGGTCTAGTCGCTTCCCCATCCGCTGCCAACCTCTTAGCCACCCCCAACCCCGGCCTTTGAACCCAGACCAGGGCCCTCTGATGAGAGAGTGCCTCCCCCGAACTGAACTCTCCAGGCAAAAGGGCCTCCTCCTGGGCTAGAGTTCTGGTTGACGCCCCCCACCCCCACCCCCACCTTCTGGCCGGGGATCACACGGCCTCCAGGAGCCGCTTTGATCCTAGGAGGCCGGAGGGGAGGGGGCGTGCTCTCCTCCTGCTTAGGGCCGCATTGTCTGTCCCGCGGGGCCTTTTCTGGAGGGCAGCTCTGTTCACCGGGCTGTAAACGCTTTCAGTACTGGGGCCTGGGGTGAGGCGGACCCCTGTGAATGAAGTCTTTTCAAGGGAGTCTCCGTGACCCCAAAGAGCGGGAAGGAAGACCCGAAACCCTTTGGGGCAGTGTGAAGGGATGGTGGGTGTTGACCTTTGCATCCACTGCACTGTCGGGGGAGAATAGTGTGGGAAGAGGTGCTGTCCCCCAGGAAACCTCACTTTCCTTCCCCCAATGCGACCCTACCCACCCCGCCTCTCAGGATGTTTGGCCCGAAGTGAGATAGGAGAGGAGAGGCTGAGACTGGATCCCAGGCACCCCAGAGCTGCAGGTTTGCAGTGAGAAGGGGCTGGGGGTGCCCTCCCACCCTTCTGCTCTGGAACGCCCCAACCTCACCCCAGGACTCCTGACATGGCCTACCATAAACTAGTCACTTGTCACGCAGGGGTCCAGCTTCCCCAGAGAAAAGGCCCAGTACATGTATACGTGTCCCAGGACTGCCAGAACCCATAAAGCTGCCAGGCGGGATCCAACACTCCCCCCCACACACACACATACACACACACCCGTCCTGCCTCACCCTTCTTCCTCTTCCTCTTCACAGGGTGCCCAAATGTCCTGCTTCAAGTCCCTCCTCTTCCTGACACAATGATGACCTTGGGCAGCCTCTGATTGCAACTTCCTCATCTGTAAAGTGGGGTAATAATGTCAGCCCCACTGACACTGCCCGTAAGCCACTGGTGGGAACCCCACGGGGCCACACTCCCCAGCAGCCTGGCAGGTGGAGGTGGGCCCCTGGAGGACACCGAGAGGAATCAGAATTTGTTCCTATACCCCTGACAACGGGAAGGAGATGGTGGGAAAGTGAAAGGGCTTGGAGATCGGACAAGTTGGAGGTCATGTCTTGCCCAACCCTGACTCTGTGAAGTCAGTTAGACATCACTTTGCATCGTCTTTCTGAGGATTTTTTTTTCCATACTTGGCAGTGCTTGGGGATTACTCCTAACTCAGTGCTCAGGGATCATTTCTGGCATTGCTCAGGGTACTTGACGGTGCTGGGGATCAGATCCTGGGTTCCTATATGCCATGTGCTCTAGCCCTCTAAGTCTTCTCCCAGACTCCATTTCCCTGCTCTTAAAATGAAAATCAGGGGGTTGGAGCAATAGCACAGTGGGTAGAGCAGTTGCCTTGCACACAGCAGACCTGGGTTCGATTCTCAGCATCCCATATGGTCCCCCGAGCACCGCCAGGGGTAATTCCTGAGTGCAGAGCCAGGAGTGACCCTTGTGCATCACCGGGTGTGACCCAGAAAGAAAAAAAAATGAAAATCACCCCCCCTCTCATCCTTAGAGATTGCTGTGAGTAGCCTGTGAACTGGGAAGGGTTTGGCCCCAGGCTATGCGCTTCAGGACATGGGACTGTGTCTTTGGAGTGAAGGACCCCTTATCTGGACAAAACTTGGCCTTTGGCAGGTGTGGCTGAGGCCCTAGCTCCTGTGGCTTCTTCCTGGACTATAGGGAGAGGGTGAGGAAGCCGAGGTCAGGAGGGAAGCCCCCAGTGCATGGAGCCAGCCCTGTGAGATTTGAATTCAGTCCCTCCTGGGATTGCAATGGGTGTGGGGGAGCAGCTCGCTGCTCTCAGGACAGAGATAGAAACAGGACCTCCATGCCCTGTGAGGGGGGCGCTAGGGGAGGGAAGAGGTATGTATCAGAAGAGAGAGTCGAAACAAATGCTTAGAATAAGTCTTGATTTCTTTCTTTTAGGTGGGGGGAGTGGGCAGTTGGGGCACCCGGTGGTGCTCAGGACCTCTGACTCTGTGCTCAGGGATGACTTCTGGCTGGCTCAGGGGACCATATGGGGTCCCAGAGATCAAATCCGGATCTGTCACCTGTAAGGCATATGTCCTACCTGCTATTGCTCTGGGTCTAGAACAGATCTTGGAGTAACACTGCCCTGGGTTCACATCCCGATGCTAACAACACTTAAAACACCTAAAAACCTTCATTTTCTTTAAGTGTGGGAAGGAGCCCATCCTGATCAGGGAAAATAGGAATCTCTTTCATGGGGGTGGAAAGGATTTTAGAAGGATGGAGCAGAAAAAGGGGCTTGAGACAGGACTAGGTACAAAGTAAGAGCTCAGTAAACTTCAGCTGTAATCGTGGTGTCACAATCCTGTTGGGGTGAACCAGACAGTTGAGCAGGAGTTGGAGAAGCCTTCCTGGAGATGAGGCCGAAACTGGGTATTAAAAGACAAGTAGTTGGGCTCGAGATATAGTACAGCATAGTGGGTAAGGTGCTGGCCTTGCATGGGGTTAACCCGGGTTCGATCCCCAGCACCCCACATGGTCTCCCAAGAACCCCCCAAAATGATTCCTGAGTACAGATCCAGGAGTAGCCTCTGAGTATCACCAGGTGTAGCCCCAAAACAAAACAAAAAAATAAAAGACAAGCAGAGAGAGAGAGAACAATGGGTAAAGCACATGCCTCCTACACAGCCAACCAGGGAATGACCCTCGCTACCACATGTGGTTGCCTGAGTAATCCCTGAGCCCAGAGCTAGGAGTAAGCCCTGAGCATCACGGGATGTAGCCCCCAAACAAAAGTTTACATTAAAATAAACATGAATACAGCTTCTGTAAATAAGTATACAGCTTCAAGTAATTTTGAAATGTTTTTGATTACAGATATCATTTCCTCAGTGTGAGATCAATCGTTTCTGATGAGTCATCTACAAATAGGAATAAAAAGGTGGGGCCATAGTATAGTACAAGGGGTAAGTGCTTTGTGCACACCCAACACCCCCACCCTCACCCTGCTCACGTTCGATTCCTGGCACCATTGAGCACTGTCAGGTGACCTCCTGAGCACAGAACCGAGAGTAAGTCCGGAGCACCACCAGAGTGACTCCTAACCAAAACAAAACAGAACAAAAAGGCAAAACCACACTAGAATGAGTACAGGCCCTTTTATTGTTTTGTTTAATTGGGAGCCATGCCCAGCTGTGCTCAGAGCCTGTTTCTGGTTCTGTGCTCAGGAGTCACTCCTGGCAGTGCTCAGGGGATGACACGTGGTGCCTGCCGGATGTCAAACTGGGGCTGACTAATATGCAAAGTAAGTCCTTCAACCCCCTATTATCCTTCCGGCCTCAAATACAGTTCTCCTAACGCTTGCTCTAGTGCTCAGTCTTCTCTTTTAGTATTGAACACTGAAATGGAAATTTTCCCACCGCTTTAACAGTGTGCAGAATTGCTAATTCACAGTGTTCGGTGCTGGTGTGGGGTGCAAGGTCGGGCAGGATGAGCCTAGAGGGGCTGATGAAGAGACTGACCCACAGTGTTTGCCCTGTTATCAGTCTCCAGGACAACAGGAGTGTCTTGTGGCCTGGAGGTGGGAGAAAGTGGCGGCTTTATCTCCTGGGATAGGGGCCTCCTGGAAAAGGTCTTTTTCAGAGCCATTTGCAGATGAATCCTGTACAATTTCTTTTTCTGGGCCAGGCAGATGACTCAGGGCTTGAGCCTGGATTCTGTCCCCAACAGGCAGCGGCCCCATAGCGCCTAGGTGTGGCTTCCCTTCAAAATTCCTTTTTCCGTTTATTTTTTTATTATTATTTTTTAATTGCAGGAGTACTGCTATTTACTTAGTCACTGATTAAACTGACTGAAGTGGACATGAACTCCATATTACTTTTTTTAAAATT